CAGACTGTTTCACATTCCACCGATGTGACTCAATAGAACAGTATGAGTTGGCCATCTGTTCTTGGCTAATAACAATATTATTTCCTTAGTGTTTATATACAGTTATATATAATAGCTATTTCTTTTTACCTTGACACTCTACTTAGGACTGCACTTTGCCTCTTTTGAGGGTGTTAGCATGATACCAACCAAATATTAAAACGTAAAATATGAACATCTGCACCAATTGAAGACCTGGGGATTGATTTAGTTTCCTTGAATTCAATGAAATCCCTGATACTTGCCCTAGCCAGTGATTTCCAAACTCTTTTCCCTTCTTCTCTTCAATCACCATTGGAACTTGTTTTTCAAACCATGGCAATAACAGATACAAGAGGACTGCTCTAGTTGAGCAAGTTTAGAAAGAAGCACCTGTTCATCAACTCTCTTGCCAGCCACCAAGACATCTCTGATATGAGCTAGGAAACTTGTGCTAGTAATTTATTATCACAGAAGCACACTGCAGAAAGAAAAGTCTTGCCATCATTATCTATAACAGCTCAGAGAATTTCTAAAGCAGTAGGGGGATCAAGACAGAATCCAGTGGCAATTTCTAATGTAAGGAAAAGGAAACTGAGAGGCAGAGAGGATTTCTAGATCAAGGTTGTACTGTTAATTAGTGGTAAAGCCAGGCTAAGTCCCTGATCTCCTATCTCCCAGTAAAATGATCTTTCGCTGTGGTGTTTCAAAGGTTACCAGGGCTTCCCTTTCTTTAGGGCTGTTTCTGGCTAGTTACTCCCTCTGAGTTCTGAGTCAGACAAAAAACTTCTAAGATTTTGGAAAAATCTAGGCATACTAAGCCATGATTTCAGTTAGGAAATAGCAGCTTTACTTCAATGAGAAAGGCCACAGAGAGCCAACTGAAGTCCACTTCTCTAGGCCACACATCCGTAACTCTCCATCCTCCAAAACCACACCTCAGAAAAGTCAGAATGACAAAGTGTATCTTCTTCTAGAGCAGAGCCTCAGCAAAACCCTCTACCCTCTGCCACAGCAAGTAAACCTTTCTCAGGTTAGTAGTTGATACACGGGGAAGTAAAAGGTACCTGATGCTAGAAGAATAAAACATAAGAAAAAGTGTCTAATTTCTTGGTGGGAAAAACAGGGCATTGATATATATTCTCATAACCTGGAGATAGCAAGGTTGTATTTCTCAAGATGAGGTAGCTGGAAAAGTGGAGAGAGAAGAGGATGACTCTAAGAGGGACTGCTGACTTCATTTATTTATTTATTTATTATGTTGTTCCTAACATGGTTCTTATTCCTGCTGTGGTCTGTGGGCATTTACTTTGCTTACTAATGATATCCCCAGCCCTGCCTTTTATAAATGAATGTGTACTTGTTACTTGTTAGTCATTCTCAAAACAATGAGTATTTAGGTAGTACAGAGCTTTCTGAACTTCAGGAATTGATGCTCAATCATCTGCCACTAAAATGCTGAAAAGTTCTAAGAAAAGTCGTAAAATAATTTTGCACATATCCACTTGTGTGTTAGGCTCAAAACGCAAGAAGAAAGGGCAAGAAAACTTAGATTTTTTTTTTTCGTGGCAAAAATATGTCCCCATGGTTCCCAACCCTTTGGGTGTTAAGTGACTAAGGGAGTAGTTTCCTTTAAAATCTTATTTCATGTAAAAAAATTTAGTAGTGGCACCCCCTCCCCCAAATTATCATTGTTAACCACCAAATATATTCTTTAATAAGAATTCATAGGTACTCTTCATGCATGCAGCAGGAATGGGCACTCCTTCTTAAGGTTTAAGAAAACATGAAAACCACAAAGAATGTTTGAAATTATTTTCTCTTGGTTGGTGGAACAGATGCCTTTCATCAAGGAAAATGCCTTTGGCCAAAACAAAGCCATATTCATCCAAAATATATTGTTTAGTAATTGCACAGACTCTGGATTATATAAAATTTACTTTCAATAGAAGGATTTCATTTTTCAAGAAAAGGTTAGCTAGCAGGAAGACAGGCAGAGAATAAAGTGTTAAAAGAATCAACTATGTCAAGAAATGACAATACAAATGCATTGAAAGGAAATTGGCCAATGTGGATGTGATTTTGTCTAGGGGTCATTCAGGAACACCTGGTTGACTTTATTTATAAGGTGATTGTCAAATCAATCTGTAGAATATGAATGAGGTGAAAGGCAGAGATAGAGTATTATTCTAGATCATCTGTAACTTTTCAAATACAACCATCGCACTGAAATTCCAGGGAGAATATAAGTGACCCCAATAAAGAAACCTGTCAGTCAGTCAAGAGTGTTTATTTATTATCCCTATGCCAGCCACTATTCTAGCCAATATGAAATGATACAAAATAAAGAGTAGTCATCACCTTTCCAGTCTCCTGAGAGCAAATGCATTACATTTGCAGACACACACACACACACACACACACACACACACACACCATCTATGTGGGTGGTCCGGAAACTCAACTATATGGGCATGTAACAACTTCATTAAGAAAAACGCTGATTTGAAAACTAGACTTATAAAATTAGAAAAACTGGAGAATAATGAATTCTATTATAAATAGATTACAATGGATTTATAAGGCATGTCTTTTATTTAAGTCATATTATGTTATTAAAGTTGGGAATAATCCCTTCACCCTCACAAATTTACAAAATATTTTTGGAATATATTATGCAACTATGGAGTCACAGTGATGTTGAGGATCTGCTAACACTAATAAAAAATAAAATACCATATTTGAATAAAAACACCTTGTGTGCATTAAACTGTAAATTCCTTAAAGTCAGAGATCAGACCTTATTTGCCTTTAATGTGTATTTAGTACTCTGTAGATAGAAGTGGTAAAGGGATAAGAATGAATGAATGAGACAGGTGAGTGAAGTTTTCAAAAGAGAAAAAACAAGAGGACTGGGATATTCTAAGCAGAAAGGTCTGGTTGGTTGTCCCCAGTCGGTTTCTGAGTATAGAAAGAGGGCTTGGCATTTTCATCACCCCTGAGGAAGGATCAGCTTCTGGTTTGGTCCATTAAGAATATGACCTTGCCCAAATGCCACTCCTTAGTTTTAGGTACATTGCTATTTTGGTTTTCTGTTCCAGCCCAGGTGTCCTTGATGGTCGAATTGTTTGCATCGACTTTTTACTCCACAAGAAGTTGGGTGATACTGCTGATTTGCCTGCCATGGCACTTGCTTGATGTATGTTGTTTTCATTTTGATAATTACTCAAATTAGCTTCGTTTTTAAAATTCAATTTTCTGACTCTCTGCTTGTGCCTTCAACACATTCACTATGATTTTCTGCTTCTCCACAAAGAAAGCACGTTGGATCCTGTCACAGACACATTTAGCACACGTGGTACCACCGTAAGCCCTGCTTGGCCTGTTTGTTTCATTTCGGACTACCTCACAAGACAGGTCTCAAAGCACCAGCCTCTCTCTCAAACTCAGCCTGAACACAGACCACATACAGATTTCGGCTCTTTCTCAACGTTGTTGGTGTAAATGTAAACGATTCTATCACTAGGGGTTCAGGGCAGCCTACTTGTGTTAGAGACTGTATTGCAGGAAAGTCCAAGGTTGTAGGATCATTCTGAGTCCCCTAGACACCTCGCAGAAGAGCTTGCTGTTGGCTTAATGCTGCCCAACTACTATGTCTGCTTCACGAGGGCAGGGACTTTTGTCTGTTTTCACTGCTGTGGCTCCAACCTCTAAATAGTGCCCGATCTAGTAGGCATTCAATAAATATAGTACTTGTTAAATGAGTGTTATTATTTTGGATGTCTTTACTTTTGCTTTATCCATCCTGCTTTAGGGAGCTGGAAATTGAGGAAAACCTTTGAATTCATTTCCCTTCTCTTTTTCTGTTCTGAAACTCTGGTCAAGGGTTCTAGCAAAGACCTTAGGGAGTGGGGGATCCCCCTTGGAAATTAATGACAAGTCAGGCGACAAGGGACAGGAGGAGAGTTGCAGGAAGTTCTTTCCCACTTCTTGCTTCTGCAGCACCGTTCACCACCTATCCTGCTCTGTGTTTGGGGTTAGGGGTGTTCGGTGGAAAGGAAAGCAGGGGCCGCCTTGGCCGCGTTCCTCGCTTGGGCCATCGGGGTCTTCCCAAAGCAAGCCCCGCAGCACCCCCTGTCTGCGCAGCACCTGTTGACAGCCAGTGAGCGGCCAAGCCCGTTCCCGCAGACGCGGACCGGGGCTGCCCCTCCCAGAGGCGCCGACCCCCGCCCCCCCCATCGGCCGCCCGTGGGAGAGCCGCCAAGCCTCCCCCACTCGCCGGCGGAGCGCTCCGCCCGGGCTCGGCCCACGGCCCCCACCTCCCGTCTGCCGCCCGGCGGGGTGAAGGTAGAGAAGGGGAGGTCACAAGCCGGATCCTCCGGGCGGCCCCGGCCTTCCCTCTTCACCCCGTGCAGAGACTCCGCGCCGCGCCCCGAGGTTAGCGCGGAGCCCGAGGCGTGGGGGAGGGACGGGGAACGATCAGAGCCCCGCGGTGAACCCGAGTGGCTGAATTGCCCCAGGCTTTGAGGAGCGGGGGACGCCCCCGAACAAGGTGAACTTTGGTCACGGAAAACTCAAGCCCGGTACCGGAATCCGTGCTGCGGCGCTCGAGACCCGGCGCCGACTGAGAGACGGGCTGGGGAGCGGGAGCCCGGCGGCCTCCCTCCGCCTGCGCCCTGGCCGGCCTCCGCCCGGAGCCCCCCCCGACCCTGCTCCGGCGCCCCGGCCCTTGGGACCCGCCGCTGCGCCCCCGCCTTGTTTCTTCCCCCTCCCCCTCCAGGGGTAGGGGGTGGGGCGGAGGAGAGGGGCGCCCGGAGGGCCGCATCTATTGGCAGCTTTGTTATTGATCAGAAACTGCTCGCCGCCGACTAGGCTTCCAGTCTGGCTGCGCGCGACCCTTGAGTTTTCGCCTCGGTCCCGTCCCCGGAACTGACAGGTGCTCCCAGCAACTTACTGGTGACTCCTCGCTGCTCCTCCGCGTCCCCACCCCCTCATTCCTCCCTCGCCTTCACCCCCACCCCCACCACTTCACCACCGCTCAGGATTTGTTTAAACCTTGGGAAACTGGTTCAGGTCCAGGTTTTGCTTTGATCCTTTTCAAAAACTGGAGACACAGAAGAGGGCTCTAGGAAAAAGTTTTGGATGGGATTATGTGGAAACTACCCTGCGATTCTCTGCTGCCAGAGCAGGCTCGGCGCTTCCACCCCAGTGCAGTCTTCCCCTGGCGGTGGTGAAAGAGACTCCGAAGTCGCTGCTTCCCAAGTGCCCGCCGTGAGTGAGCTCTCGCCCCAGTCAGCCAAATGCTCCTCCTCGGGCTTCTGCTGACATCTGCCCTGGTCGGCCAGAGACTGGGGACTCAGGCAGAATCCAGCCTGAGCAGTAAATTCCAGTTCTCCAGCAACAAGGAACAGAACGGTGAGTTTTTTCCCCATTCTCCCCTGCTCGTTTCTCGCTGTGTGTGTGAACGTTGGCATTGTGCGTTGGTGTGATGTACACTAGACTGCGAAGGTATCTTTGGTCTCTCCAGGCAAATGCGCGCTGCATTCGTCGGCATGGACTGTTGAAGGTTAAGTGTAGTTTGCAACTTCGGGAGCTGCCCCAAAGCTCCAAGAGGGCCACGTGAGTGCCACTGCAGCCTCAGTTGGAGTGAGGACATTCTGGGAGCGATTGTGAACGTCAGTTCAAATGCACATTGCAGGTTCCCTCATTGGCAGAGTTAGAAGTTCAAGAGCTGCCTCTAAAAACGAATCCAAAATGAATGAGTCTTGGCATGTTTGACTTTACTCAGATTTGGGGAGGGCGAGGGCGGGTCGGTCAGGAAATGTATCAGCCGCATTAATTGAAGCACTCTAGGTCGAAGTCATCAATTAATCAATAGGAAGATAGGAAATATAGAGGTCAAGAGGCTGTGTGGTCGTTTTTAGAGGAATTAAAAATGTATTTCTCTTGCATTCTCTCTCTCTCTCTCTCTCTCTCTCTCTCTCTCTATATATATATATATATATATATACACACACACACACACATATATATACACATATATACACACATATATATACATACACACACACACACACACACACACACACACACATATATATATATGTATATTTTTAAAACTTGCCTTTGTACTCAAGTCCTTACTGTTCTGGTGGTGTGTTTTTGTATGTGTTGGTGAATGACTGCTATTTTGTTTGTGCTGGAAACGACTTAATCCTGCATAGGAAATGAGAATTACTTTCAGCTTTCAAGTGTACCTGAAATGTTTGGAAAACTCTCAGATGCAAGTTCCCTTGGGCTGGGATTGCACAGAGCTGGAGAAAGGCTCCTTTCATAAAGCCAGGGCAGCTTCAGGGTGTGTAATTTGCTTAGCCTCTGAACCCATATGATTTACATCATTCAATTTCTAAACTCTTTTTATCTTCATCTACTATTATGAAGTCATTTTTGAGAATACTTTGTAAATAGAAATTTTATACTGCACACGAAACCACAATGTTAACGTAGGCTGTCTAAAATTGGAATATTTAATGCCCTGTTTACAAGTGGAGGCTCTTACTGTTGTTTGAAAAGGAATATACATATTTTTACTGCTTTGTGTATCATCTATTCAGAATGCAAGGATTCTGTCACTTCATTAACCATGCCAAATGAACACAAGTGGCATACCTACAAAATCCAAATGGTGTGTCCTATAGTTTTAAGTCACAGAGATTTTTTTTTCCCTTTTCATGTTGGGGCATTTCAAGGCTTCAACTTTGAGTTTAAACTTTAAGTGTTCATGTTTAAGAAAGCACAGAAAATTCTAGGGTATGAAAATAGATAAAAAATATTCTGGGGACTTTTGTAGACATTATTTGTATTTGTTGTTGTGCAGCAAGACACAGTATCACATTTATCTGCCAATATTAGTGTGGTGCTTCTTAGAACTTGCTAACGTGATGGCTCATGGCACCTGCAGGCTCCTGAAGCTGCTGATCAAAGGGCAGCCTAGGGATCTATCTCTAATCACAGGAGCTGCAGAGGACTGAGGGAAAGCGATCAAAGGAGCCACAGCACCAGCTGTACCCGTGCAGGAAACAAATCAGACTAATCTTTGTTCTTTCTCATGTAAAATAAATGTCCCATTCAAAATATTGCTTCTTACTAGACAAGCTTCTCCATAATGACAGCAATGCACAGTATTCCTGGCTTCCTGGCTTCTGCTTCTTGTTGTTCTTATCTCGTATCATTTCTCCTATTGCCTTGTCTTATCAAGCCTATCTTGGCATCTCCCCGAATCGCTTTGCTAACCTGTGCTTCTCTTGGTCCTTTCCTTGTAGTTCTCTCTCGGTTCCACATGCTATCGTCACTTTGTAAGGGGCCCAGAGCCGTCATGCAGCATGTGGTCACAGGCCACTTTACCCAAGTAGGTTTGCTCTTTCAGGAGAGATGAGTTCATTAAGCCAGGCCACACACATTCTGTTGCCATCTGAGACTGGGCCATATCCATTCCTAAGATGCATGATGCTAAAAATAGCCACTTGTTTCCTATTCTGTGGGCAGAGGATTGGCCTATGTTTGGGGGATGGTCTGTGTTAAGGATGGCAGCAGGAAGTAACTACACGTAGAGCAACTACTCACTTTGTAGTTTTTAGCCCTAGGAGAAGTGGCACTGGCCAGCACTAGGGGGCAATATAGAGCTATTTTCCTGCACATGCTCAGGTTGATTTTTAAACATCAGACTTTCAAGATTTGAGGATAACAGGTGGGTGCTAAAGAAGATTCCCCTGGAATGTAACCAGATTTGCTAGAGCTATTACTGTTACCATTGCTACTACTACTACTTCTTTTTTTTGACTTTCGAATTTTCCATTATGTGGGTAATTTTTTGCTCTTATACTGAATTATGATTGCTTATTTTCCTATTGCTGTCTCAATTTTCACAGTTGTACAATCCCGTAAATACAAACCTTCCTTTAGGATACCACGTAGAAAATCCCATGGCCCAGATCCCATTGGCCCAGTTCGTGCATTGCATCATTTTGTGAAAAGTTTTCTAAGTGCAATGAAATGTCCAAAGTGATGTGTTATGACTGTAGGAGTTCATTCCTGTCTCCAAGAACCCCTCCTCATGATACTCTATTTTCTCGAGTATGCTAAAGTCCCCAATGGTATTTACTCAATCAGGTCCCTCACACTGTCGTTCAGTTTTAATATCAACTTGGAGTCCCAAGAGGAGGTAGAATTGGAAATCGATTGCTATAGCCAATGCTGCATACACGGATTTAGGCTGGATCATGTGGACGTGGTTCAAAATTAGTTTTGAAGGGTTAGTGTCATTTACACTATTGTTAGGCATCTGGTTTTTGACCTGCCGTTGGATTGCAGTTCTTGCCACTTTTACTGTACAGTTTCATCCTCTGATATTATAAGTTGACTTCATATACTGTACTTAATTTTTAACCTTACTTCTGACCCTGTCTCACGTATGAAAGCAAGAGTCTTCAGATTTAGCTTGACAAAAGAGATAAAATGAAACATTGACTTGCTTGGAGGGTGTCTGGCCTTTATACTTACTATGTGACCGTGGTGAAGAATACTCATATTTTGTGCACACTGGTTTTAGCTGAGAATGCCTATTGTGGAATGATTAAGTTCTGGGATGGTGCATCTGAATTGTAGCAGAAGGAATCATATATGTTTAGAAACAAAACAAAACTTATTTTGTCTGTTGCCTGCAGCGCAAAAAGATGTCAGTGACAAAGCTGTTGGTGAAGGAATGGCTCTTGTACCTGTGTTGTTGGTGAGGGATTTTAATTTACACCTAAATCAGGCACATGCTTCTTATTTTTTCTCATTTTCTTTAACCATTCTAAATTTAGATTTGGAATAGGCCGCGATTCACTAGGGATGGTCTTATGAACATCAGTTATTGTATGTGTTCTTTTTCTCAGGGGTTTTTTTGGCATGCGGGGCAATTTACTTCGGGCTACTGGTAATGCCCTTTTGCCTGTATTTTGCGTTCACGGATTTTCCGTCTCTTTTTATCAGTGCCAGCTTTCTCTTCCTACTGCCAATGCGCCTGTATCTAACAAAATGTAAATTAAAAATGGGAAATTAAAAAATGTGTCCAGTCCCCTCACAACCGTTTTTAGGTGGCAGCTTCAAATCTCTATTTTATCAAAAATAGATAACCACAATATTTAGAACAGTGAGCAAATAGGCTCTAACTGCAGACTAAAGGGACTTTCCTGTAAGTTTCCCTGTAAGTTTGATTGCGTGAACTTTGTGACATTTATTTTTGTTGTTTAATGGCTTTTTTACCAAAAACAGAAACAAACTTCCTCCTGGTTCTCTGCTGTTCGAAATAGTTGAGGAAGTTGAATGAGTAGAGTGCCATTGTGTAATGATGAATTTCGTCTTTTCACAGTAGGCGATTAAAAAGCCCTATCATATGGTCATTGTTCTTCCATATCAACTGTAATCACAGATATTGGATGAATGATATACTTTGCTTTTACCACTAAAACGTGTTTAAAAGTGCTGAGGTTGGTAGGAAGCCTCAAGGATTAATGTATCATTTGTTAAATAATTGTAAATAGAGGATGGGATTCAACACTAAACTCATCCCAGTGCTACCATCTCTTCTACGAGATCTAGCTCTGTCTCAGGCACTGAAATCTTAGCTTTGTCTACTCTTATTTCACCCTTGCTGAAAGTTATTTCATAAATATCTTCTGTGTATTAGCTCCTACTTCATGCTTGTTTTCAAGCTTTAGACTGGTAAGATTCTAAGTTTTATGTATAAACTTTTGCACCTTCTGGAGAAAAAAATTCTAATGCTAAGGTGATATGTTAAATAAGTAGTAATGAATCAAGACCTTCATAATGGTCATAGTAAAAAAAAGTTTTCAAGACTGATGAAATTTTTCCTGTAGGTTTCTCTACTTGTATCAACCAAAACGGTAGAAGTCATAAAGTCCCTTCGTTTACTTACTCTGATTTTTCTATGTGACTCTGTGTAATCTCTATATAACTAGTTTATTAAGCAATCTCTGTTGCTTCTTGGCCTTTTGGTTATGATTAGGTGTAAACAATCTATATGTTGTATTATTTTTCACCACTACTGCCTCCAGCTATGATTTTATTTTCCAAATCTCCCTTTATTTTGTATCACCTAAGGAGAAATCTAATGTTTGATAATTATTTACTATGCACCAGTGTTAGTTACCACACTGATTACCAAAATGTTGAAATGTTGAAATATTTCCAATGAGTTGGGAAGGGCCTAGTGCAACTCCTCTAAGGCAAATGGACCAACAATGTGAAACAGAAACTCAAATGCCTGGTACTGCTCAAGGCCTCTAAGATACTTCTGTAACCCTGTTGGCCTGTGTTGGGATCGATCAATGTTCTTGCCATACTGATTGTTA